CTATTTCACCTATGCTACATGTAGATGCTCTAAAATTTGCAGAAGGAGCATGATCATAAGAGATTTCTCCACTTATAGCCAATTTGTAAAGAAGAGGCTACAATTAATATTATTTCTTCAAGCAATATATGATCTTATTTTTTTAGCCAATTGAAACATGATAGTGTAGAAACAGCAAGTTGAAAGCTTGAAGCATATTCAATGCCATCTATGCCTTCAGTGTCATGTCATATAGATATTTTTTCCTCTCTAGAAAAGGGATCTTGGATGAATATAGCCAAATCACTAGTCTCGTAACAGAAGAGATTGTGAATGTCCATAAAGAGATCAAGGCCTCTGTTGAACAGATAGACCCTAACTCTGAATATAATGACTTCATAGAAACTCACAGGTATACATTTTCATTTTGATGTGCATGTTCATATTTCCTCTCAAGAAATGCTTGTGCTAAAATGCAACACTGCTAAAGTGGTCAAATTTGAATTTGTTTCCATTTGGTTACTTTAAAGTTGTTATTTGTAAAGCTTTATCTTAATTTGAAAAGCTGTTCCATTTTCATGTACAGAAATTCAGTTGAATATCAAGTTTTTAACCTGACTGTCTCTTTGACTGTCTCTTGAAAAACAAAATTCTAATTATGCTATTGCATGAAGAGTCATAACTGGTACTGGCAGCATACTATACATGATAACCCAGATTCAGTGTGGGGTAAGCTACTGTGGTTTTGGATGCATTTTGCATCCTGGGCTAAGCTAAATTTCTCTGCTATATATCTCTCCTTGCCTAAATTCTAGATAAAGTGAACTCTAGGTATCCCTGTATTAACTACAGTTATTGCAGAATAAGCAGTGCCTGAAGCAGAACAGAATATGCAGGTAATGCAAGAAAGTTTTTTATTTTAAAAATATATTGTATTTGCTATTTATTCAGCTGATATTGCATATTGGTACATAAGTGAATAGTCTAAGACTTCTTGCATTATCCATTGCTTTTAATGTGCAAATTGATAATTGCCACAAGCAGATATACAGGTGGCTCAGCAAAGAGTAGACCAGTGCAAATAGATTCCCTATTCTAGATAATAGATGTTGATTTTGCAAATGTAACTTTTATTTACTAAATTAGGTCATCAGGAGTTGTTGAACAAGAAATAGAGTTTGATATGTCTTTACTAGAAGAAAATGAAAACCTTCAAGCTAATGAGATCATGTGGAATAATCTAACAGCAGAAAGTTTACAAGTCACGTAAGCCTTTCTTCACAAATCTTTCATCCTTTGAAGTGCTATCATATATTATGACATATATTATGAGGTTCACTCAACTCATCCTGTACATGAATTCTTAGTTAGTTTATTGCAGATGGTCCTGTTTCTGAAATAATGTTTTCAGGCTGTAGACAGAAAACACTGTTTCTATTGTTCCTTTGCACAAAATACTTCTGCCCCAACAGCCAATTTGCCTGAACTTTTGATCTAGTTGATTCCCACAATGCCTCAAATCCATCATGAATCCTCCTTTGGAACTTAATATTCTCAAATGTATTTTCACACTCATTACTCTAGAAAAAAATACTGAAATCTATTGTTGAAGCCATTGAGTACACTGATGCAGTTAGTGATTTAAATTGCCAACCAGGAATTGTTCATTTAATACGTTTTACTTATTTTGCAGGTGTTTGGCTTCTGTTTTCTAAAATCTTATTCATTGTTATGACCTTTAAAGTGTGTTAATTTACTAATATAAATGCAGCTTTTATATTACATTTCATGTCACTTTAGACTATTCAAGGTGATAAACTCCCTCTCAACGTATTTTGTTAATCTGTTCTGCAATTATCTTTTTATTAATTTCCCCAACCATACCATTATTCAGTTGTTATTGGGGAACAAATCTCCTGCTGAGGTTTAGTACATCTATATTATAATATTCTTGTTATCTTGTTAGACTCACTTTTTGCCATGAAATGGTCTAAGGCAGTGAATGGTGAGACTGCAACTATTAATTATACGTTTTTTATATTGATTATAAATTTGTACATTCAGAATTTTAATAGTAAATGATCTTTTTGTATCTGTAACATATTTCAATCAATGTTTGACTACTTATTTGACCCTTTTTCCTTAGAAAGTATAACTAATACAAATAAAAAAAACAGTGCTTTTTTTCTTCGAATTTTAGTTTGTCGTCTTAAACTATGTCCTTTCTTTCATTCATTTTTTTTTCTGAAAACCAAAAACAGTGTGGAGCATAAGTTTTGAGTGGGAATGGGAACAATGTACTCCTTTCCACACAATTAATGATTCTGTAAACTTCTACCATACCCTTATAAGGCATAATAAGTGTTTTTATATTCTATGCTCTGCTTTGTTTTTAACAAACCCTAGAGAATCATTGTTTTTTCTGATCACTGCTGAGTAGTGAGGCAGTGTTTTCTTGGAATCATCTATTGTAACCTCAAGATCTCATTTCTGAGTGGTAGCTATCAGCTTAAAGCCATTCACTATACAAATTTTTAGATTATCCTCCCCCCCCACACACCATGTATTTGTTTATTTTAACATACAAGTTAATCTTTACTTTGGATTTACCATTACCAAAGATTGAGAGCTTTTTAAAAGGAGTTAATAGTAGAGAAAAATATACAGATCACTTATATGAGTTAAAGCAACACTTTTTAGTATGAGACAAGTGTTGCTTTAATACCTAATGCAAAAGCTGTTGGTTTTGGTCTTAATATTTCCAGAGAAAATATATCACAACTACTGATTGTGCGTATTTATCTAATGTGTACTGCAATAGTGGGAAAGTTTTTGTTTTTCATACAGTTTTTGGTGAATTAGCAATATGTTAGGAAGATATTAAACTACATAGCATGCTCTTCTAGAGGATTTTTTCTTGATAGAAGAGCATGCAGGCAGTAGTTCATGTACGTATAAGCAATTAGTTATGTGTACTGTAATAACAAAGATTAATAACATAATATAAAGCAATGACTACAAAAAAGGCCATCAAGCTGTAAGTACATAATTTAATGTAATAGCATAATTTAAAGACTAATTCTTTTTCATTTTAAGAAAAAGAATACAATGTTCCTAAATATGTACAGTTTGTGTATGCATCCCATTGATTTCTGATATGTATGTATCACAGTTTAAAAACGGTAATAGAAGAATTGATACAGACGCAGCAGACACTTTTGAGCAAAGAGGAACTTGTGCTGGAACTAGAGAAGAAAATAGAAGAATCTTCTAAAACTTGTGAAAAGAAGTCAGAGTAAGTATAACAAATATCAAAATAATTTGAGAGGTAATGCAGTTCCTAAGACTTAAATATGAAATAACCTTCACTAATCTTCTTTTGCTTTAGTGAAAAGTATTATCAATGCCAAAAAAGTTAGCTTCCCATTTCTTACATAACTCTTCCCTGCTCTAGATCCTAATACTTAGAGAGCTTTGATTCGCATTGTAACTTAAGCTTGGCAGAAGAAAACACAGTGTCTCTTCAAAATGGCTGTCCAGTTCCATGAAAAAAAAAAAAAAGTGGAATTCTTGATAATTGGAGTATAAGAGACTGGTAAGAGCCAACAACAGTCTTTTTATGTGGGGATCTGCTATGAGACCACTTGCAGAGTTCTCCCTTCCCCAATAGTCCCCACATCTTGTCAAGCACTACAGTATGTCTGAAACATCTAGAACTGATACAGCCTTCAGGAGGATATGCTACAGCTGTTCTTTGGGAAAGGAAAACCTTGGGTCTTCTATAGGATTTTATTTATAGGGTAACAGTTTGAAATCTCTTGATGTGGGAATGTAGGTTTGAAAACTTTCTCACAAAAAGGTGAATTGAAATACTGAGCATTTTTTGTTTTATTATTTTAAATCAGTGATGTGAAATTAAAATGACTAAAATGTTAAGGTGAGATAGATATACTAGTAAACTCAGACTGCATTCTGTATGGTGCTTGGCTAATTGTGTTATAATATATACAAATGTAAATTTATACAAATGAAAAGGAGAGCTTACAGTAGTTGAAGGTGGTTTTTGCTCTGGTTTTTGAAGAATGTTGGAGGTAATAAGGGAAACATGAAAATGATATTGCAATCTCTGAATCTTTAAAGGGTGAAATGTTATATCGGAAGACTGTTGCATAGGTGAGACTGCTATTTGAATATGGGTTCCAGTTCTGATAGATCTTGAAAAATAAGAGGTGTTTCAGAGAAAAGCCATAATGCGTAGAAAGTGAGAAATAATTTATTTTAGCCCCTTGTGTAGTTGAATTTGTTGAGCTTAGTAAGCTGACTGCAGTCCAGAAATACACAGACCTTTCAGCCCAGAATATAAAGACAACAGGTATATCTAATCTGAAGCCAGACAAATTTATACTGGATTTAAGTTTAATAGTGAAGATAATTACCATTATAACAACTACATGGATTGAAGTGGATTCCTCATCACTGGAAATAATAATCTAAAAGTTTTTCCTCTCTATTTCTTCTTACTCAAAAGCGAGTTAGTCCAGGGAACCTAAGTGGTTATAAGCTCAGTCAAACTAGATAAAAATAATAGTTCTTTCTGTATTTAATAAAATACGATTTTGCAGTACATTGAAAAAAAAGGGAATGACTAAATAGGTGTTTGCTTTCATTATCTTGTAGCTTTAAGAATTTTCTAATATTTGGCTCATGCGTGTATGCTTTTGAAGTAATAACTCTGTTGAAGACTTTTGTCATTATTTCTTACAGATAAAAAATAAACTTAATAATTCCTTCATTAACTGGATGGGTAAAGTGAAAATAAACAAGTTTCAGTCTTGAATATGCTTTATTTTCTGTAGCTTTCATGATTCAAATTATGTATTTTAAATGATGTGTGTTTCTGTAAAATGTTGCAGCTTGAAAGCCGTAGTGGTGGTGGGGGGAAAAGGAGATATCAAATCAGTATCAGATTCACAGTCTGTGGACTGTAGGTCCGATCGCCTTCCTAGGAGCGAATCAAGTTCCCAAATAGTGTGATCAACTATAAACTCGACTCTGGCAGTATCGGATTCACGAACAGTCTGTGGACCATAGGTCTGATTCCCGCCCCTGCCCCCCAAACAAGTAGTCGAGTTCACAAACAGTATGATTTATTCAAATGCAACATTTACAAAGCAGGTTTCTGATGTCAGTACAGAAAATCTTCTACTACAGCGTGGGGATTTTAGCTA